ATGAATAGATACACAATTGTGAGACGTTAATCACAATTATGCAACTCTCTCTCTCTCTCTCTCTCTCTTTCTTAGGTACACAAAGTTAAATCTGCAGGTGAATCAGGATGGGAAACTTCCAGTCAAGAAGTGAGAGACACACACGCACTTCACCCCTATGTCCCCATTTGACACCATTTCTTAAAAGTGTGTAAAAAGTGTTCATCATGTCAGCGTTTTGGGGACCAGTCCTTTGGAGGTCTCTGTAGATGTTCGTTCTCTATCGTTAGTCTACGACGTTAGATTCTCCTAAAGAAACGAGGGTTAGACGAGAAAAACGATAAAACCATCAACATTGCTGTTTTTGTTTCACATCGAGTTTGAGCTAGCTTGCGCGTGTGAGCTAGCAGAAAATGAGCGGCGGTTCTAGCGGTTCTGTTCCGTTGCTCTTTCAGCATCCTGAAGATGTTCTCGGACAAGCGGCGAGTGGAGATGGCGCTGGAGCAGTGCGGCCTCACCACAAACAAGGTAACGACCGCCGCCCTGCCCAGCGTAACTTTTATCTTTGCCTCCAATGTTGACTGTGTGCTCTCACTTGTGTTGTGTTTCGGCGCCCCCCGCTGGGGGAATTAAGGCACTTGCAAGTTCCCACTGAATTTCAATCGGCAGCTCATACAAGCAGACAGTAGATTAAAGCTAACGCCCCTGATAGGTTTCCGAATACTTTGAATGCAAACCTGGCGCTTTTTTTTGCACGCAACGTGTAACATGCATATGTTTTTTTGTTTTTTTGTCAGCTTTTACTTGACTGTTATTTTAGATGGAAGTTAGGGCATCTTTTTTAATACAGTTAGAACAAGATGAACCGGTCCGTTTAGTTTTTTAAATAAAGTTATTCTGTCTCTCTCCGTCTCGCTCTCTTCCTTCTTTCTCTTTTCCCCTCCTTCTGTTCTCTTTCTCTTTGTCTCTATTTCTCTTGTCTTTTTCTATCTTTTTCACCATTTTCTTTCTTGCACTTTCTTGCTTTCTTATATCTCTCTCTCTCTGTCTCTCTCTCTCTGTCTCTCCCTCTCTCTCTGTCTCTCTGTCTCTCTGTCTTTCTCTCTCTCAGACAGAGGGCATCAAGGGAGAGGACTTCACCTGGGAGGCCTTCCAGAAGTTTCTCGACAGCCTGTCCCTGCGACCGGAGATACAGAGCATCTTCGAGAAGAGGTAAAACACATGCTCACTCACTGACTGACTGACTGACTGACTGACTGACTGACTGACTGACTGACTGACTGACTGACTGACTGACTGACTGACTGACTGACTGACTGACTGACTGACTGACTCACTCACTCACTCACTCACTCACTCACTCACTCACTCACTCACTCACTCACTCACTCACTCACTCACTCACTCACTCACTCACTCACTCTCACTCGCTCGCTGCTGTGATAAGTTGTTTATTCGTAGCAGTGAAAGCAGTCTAACAAAACAGTTGTTTATTTTTATATAAATAATTATTTAGTTTCAGCGTTGTCATCATCGACTAATTAACGAAATTGAGCAATGCTCAGCGAGCTGTTTTGCCTTCACACAGAAGTGTAGCGCAGCTTAGGGCGACCCCTAGTGGTCGGTTTGTGTAAATGCGCCTTGCTTCCCGCAGGAATTAATAAAACAGAATTCCCTCCATTCCCTCAATGACTCGCTGCTTCCCCCTGGTGTTCAGCGGCTCCAAGAGGAAGCCCTTCATCTCTCTGGACCAGCTGATGGACTTCATTAACCAGCAGCAGCGGGACTCGCGCCTCAACGAGGTCCTCTACCCCCCCCTCAAGCGGGAGCAGATCCGCCAGATCATGGAGAAGTACGAAAGCAATGCCAGCCAGCTGGAACGAGGTGGGTTACTGTGTGTGTGTGTGTGTGTGTGTGTGTGTGTGTGTGTGTGTGTGTGTGTGTGTGTGTGTGTGTGTGTGTGTGTGTGTGTGTGTGTGTGTGTGTGTGTGTGTGTGTGTGTGTGTGTGTGTGAGTCTCTCATACCTGTCAACCCTCCTGTTTTTCCCGGGATTCTCCCCTTTTTTACCTTTCTCTCCCGCTCTTTAAATATTTTCCTGTAAATCTCCAGCCTTATAAAAGGTTTATAAAAACATAAACCATTTTATAACCACCTAATTGTAGTCACTTACTGAATGTAGGAACTAGTTAACGCAATACTTTTTATAAAAAGATATTTTAAAGCAAGTGGTTGCAAAATGGTGATTTTAGGATTCACTCTGTGTACCCTTGTCTCAATGTAAGGGATATGTGGACAGTGGTAGGGGTGATTGGACAGGGCGCCAAAATATATCCCTTATTTTCAAGTGTGTGTGTATGTGTGTGCTTGTGTGTTTCTTGGCATAAAAGAGGGGAATTTGTGAACATAAGGTGTTTCTAAATGTTAATTGGCTGTGAGCCAGTCACATGGACATCTGCAGGGCTGTAGTCACTGTGATAGCAGTGTTTCTCAACCTGTGGATCCGGACCCCACAGGGGGTCGCCCAATTTGCATATTGCAATGGCTGATTAATAGATGGATGATTTATAAGCTAGATAGGCAGTCACACTTTTGCTGTCGTAATACTTTGCTGTCATGCACTTTACGTTACTCCAGACTACAAACCACTGTGATGTGTTTGATCAAGTCTTTTGTATTGTTCTTTGTGCTGTCTATTGCTGTGTTGCTGCTCTTGGCCTGCAAACCAATTGCCCTCTGGGATCATAATAAAGCTGAAATTGAGCTCTAGATTTTCTGAAGTCATTTGTGTGTAGGTTTGAAAGGTCCTCTGTGTCCAAACAGACAAACACCAAAGTCATCATCACAAGCAAACTGTGTGGCATGGTACAATTCACTTTCACATTGATGTGACCGATGAAGATGTTGATCTGGTGAACACAAAAACCTGGTGGTTGTGGTTGTGGTTGCATGAATTTTCACACCTTTAAAATGGGGTTACGGGCCAAAGAAAGTTGTGAACGCTAAGTTGGTTAAAGAATGCTATGCTCCATGTTTTCCACTGTATTAATATACCGGTACGTTATCTCTCTCCAGACCAGATCAGCTTGCTGGGCTTCACGCTCTACCTGGGGGGAGAGGAGAACACCATCGTTCCTCCAGAGAGACTGGACCTCATAGACGACATGAACCAGCCCCTGGCTCACTACTTCATCAACTCCTCCCATAACACCTACCTCACAGGTAACTGAGCCCACGTCCACTTCACACCTCACAGGTTACTAAGCCCCTCCAACAACACCTACCTCACAGGTTACTAAGCCCCTCTCACAACACCTACCTCACAGGTTACTAAGCCCCTACCTCACAGGTTACTAAGCCCCTCTCACAACACCTACCTCACAGGTTACTAAGCCCCTCCAACAACACCTACCTCACAGGTTACTAAGCCCCTCCAACAACACCTACCTCACAGGTTACTAAGCCCCTCCAACAACACCTACCTCACAGGTTACTAAGCCCCTCCAACAACACCTACCTCACAGGTTACTAAGCCCCTCCAACAACACCTACCTCACAGGTTACTAAGCCCCTCTCACAACACCTACCTCACAGGTTACTAAGCCCCTCCAACAACACCTACCTCACAGGTTACTAAGCCCCTCCAACAACACCTACCTCACAGGCAGTGTTGGGCAGTAGCGACGCTGCTAGTTAAACTACATTACTCAGTAGCGTGGCTGTTTTCTGAGTCTAATAGCTTTTCAGTAGCAAAGCTCTTTTATTGATCAAGTGCAGTAGCTTGCATGGTGCCCTGTTTTATAGCTACCTTATTTTAGCTGTGTTTTAAATGTTTATTTTTTACAGTTTGTGTTCCTCTAGCTTTCTTCTCCTGCACTTATCCTGTTGTGTGTTTTTCCTATCTCATCTATAATCTGTATTTACGATATTATTGTTTATGATGTTTTAATGGTCTCTATGTCTCTCCTACTTTTCTCTCCCCCCTATCTTTCTATCTTCCCCCTCTCTTTCTCTCTGTTACATTCTCTCATCCTCTCTCTCTCTCTCTCTCTCTCTGCCTCTCTCTCTCTGCCGCTCTCTCTCTCTCTCTCTCTGCCGCTCTCTCTCTCTCTCTCTCTCTCTCTCTCTCTCTCTCTCTGCCGCTCTCTCTCCCTCCTTATCCTCACCCCCTCCCTCTCCAGTGGGTCAGCTGACAGGCCCGTCCTCTGTGGAGATGTACCGCCAGGTGTTGTTGACGGGCTGCCGCTGCATCGAGCTGGACTGCTGGAAGGGCCGGCCTCAGGATGAGGAGCCCTACATCACCCATGGCTTCACCATGACCACCGAGATTCCCTTCAAGGTGATAGGCCGACCCGGTCGGCGATGGCAACATAATTGGAGTCAGAATCGCATTGTTGGCCTAGTTTCCCCACACAAGGAATTTCAACTGGTTCATTGCTCTCAGTCAGTACACAATACAACAAACAGAAACGGAGATAAATCAGTATAAGTGTCCCGGTAAAGAAAGAGAGACTGGTCATAAAGCTCTGTTAAACCGGAGACGGCAACAATGAGCTTCTCCTCCATTCTCAATTTCAAACTTTACCTAGCGGGAAGAATATCAAAGCCCGAACCTCCAATTGGTAGCTGCTTTAGCGCTGACGCTGCTCATTTGCATAAAGTTAAACTAATCTCAACTCTCCTCGTCACTCTGGACGCTGGCGTCGCGCTGCTCGCTGCCGCCGCGGCGCCGGCAGCTCCTCGTCGCCAGCTCTCACTGAAAATGAATGACTGCCAGCCGCTTTTGCTGCTCATGTCGCTTGTGGTGTGACCACACAGTAACGCCTCCTCTGTTCTCCTCTCCTCTCTCCGTGTGCAGGAGGTGATCGAGGCCATCGCAGAGAGCGCCTTCAAGACCTCCTCGTACCCCCTCATCCTCTCCTTCGAAAACCACGTGGACTCGTAAGTAGCGCAGAGCAGGGTCCAACATTAACACCTGCTGCCACCAGCCGATGGCTGATAGGCCGGTAGATTTTTCCACTCTGGCAGGGTAGTCTAGCGGTCAGGGTGTTCGACTCCCAGCCGAAGGGTTCTGGGTTCGAACCCCCAATGTCTGCTGTCTAATCTGTCGGCGTCCGAGAGCAAGAGGACCCCTAACCCCTCTACCTGCTCCTTAAGCACCTGTATCGGAAGTCACTGTAAGGGACTGTTGGTGTGTGCAGTGTTTTCTTTACACATTCCTCTGTTGTTCCCTATCAGGGCCAAACAGCAAGCCAAGATGGCGGAGTACTGCCGGACCATTTTTGGCGATGCCTTGCTCATTGACCCTCTGGAGAAATATCCGGTATGTGATTTGCGCGTGTGTGTGTGTTTAAACATCAAAATTTTTCCAATAGATCAACAAAATAACACTTGACGTGGCAGACGAGAACTGAGTAAAATGGTTCCTTTGATCGCAGGAGTCACAAGAATTGCAGAGATTTCCATACTGGTTCGGTTTTGGCGGACATCAAACGGCGCGTAATGATCACATATCAGCCCGATCACACCGTGAAACGTTACACTCGCAAAACATTAACATGTGATGAACTCTGGTGTCTGGGCGCCTCAGTCGGACTTGAAAATATAAAATTACATTTTTTTCATTGCACACCGCTGTGTTGAAGTGTTTTTTATTTATTTATTTATTTTTACAAAGTTTTGACTAAAGTTTCTGTTGGCGGCCCCTGACAAAATGCTCACCATGTTGGTTCTCCGTCTCCACTACCTCCTCCCCTCTCCTCCATCTCCACTACCTCCTCCTCCTCCCCTCTCCTCCATCTCCTCCACAACCTGCTCCTCTTCTCTACCACCTCTTCCCCCTCCCCTCTCCAACACCCCCATCTCCTCCTCCATCTCCACCACCTCCTCCTCCTTCATCCGTTTTCTTTGTCTACATTTTAGCTCCTCGGTGTGTTTGTGTGTTAGTATGTTGTTGCATGTTACAGTGGTTCTCTGTGTACAAGCTGCTCCTAACTAAATTGCCCCCCCAGTGGGAGTAATAAAGGTGTTTTGAATTTGAATTGCATATGAATTTCCACCACCCCCATCTCCTCCACCTCCCTGACCAAATGTTATTTCACCATGTTGGTTCTTCTGTGTACAGCCTATTTGTGCATTTTTCCATACTTTTGCATCTTACGTATTATTCTAGTATCAGGTGTACAGCTTATTTTTTGCATTTTTTTCCTGTATTGTGTGTGTTTTGTGTTTTGATTAATTGGAAATATGTTTCTCCTCCAATCCTACCTTTCCCACCCCCCTCTACCAGCTGCTCCCGGGCCAAGCCCTGCCCACCCCCCATGAGCTGATGGGGAAGATCCTGATCAAGAACAAGAAGAAACATCAGCACCACCACCGGCCCTCTAGTGGGGGCAGCATCCGCCGCCGCGAGGTGGAGGAGCAGTCCCCAATCAACCACGGTGTGTGGAGACACGCGCACACACACACACACACACACACACACACACAGGATATACTAGCACATACACACTGCATAAACACTATACCCTGGATGCTAGCAACACATACACACTGTAGGTACAAACACACGCACACACACTCTCGCCCTCCCACACTTGTGTGACAAACATGCACACACACACACACACACAATAGATCATAAAAAGTGAGGGACCGAGGATGAGAGAATGCAACAGAGAGAAAGAGAGGGGGGAGATGGAAAGATGGGGAGGAGAGAAAACTGCAAATGCACACACCGTTATAAATTGTATTTTATTAAAGGTACATTCTTCTGTGCTATGCTCAACATACATTTACCTTTTTTGCTTTTTTACCTGTCTGTGTCCAGACTGTCCGTTGATGGACGGTGATGGGGGCCAGATTCTGTCCAATGGGGAGGAGAAGCTGGCGGAGAGGATGGTCAAGGAATCTGATCCCCGCAAGTCTATTGGTGGGCTCATCTGTCAGTTAGAAGATTGACATGGATATAGGGCGGGGCGATATGGCAAAAATCTTCCATCCTGATTATAGGTCATTTAATATCTCCATAATGATGCGTATCAAGATATAGCATGTTTACTACTATATAAAATAACCACATTGTAAAGCCTATTTTGTATACTCTTTTTTGTATAATTTTGTATACTCACTTCACTTTACTGTAATGCAGCGTTTAAAACCAGGAAAAGACAACACTTACGCCATATCACGATATTACGATATCCAACATCTAAGACATCGAGTCTCATGCCACGATATCGATATAATATCGATTATATTGCCCAGCCCTACAAGGATACCATTAGTGTGCGTCTGTGTTCATATAAGTCTGTATATGCATTTATTAACTGTAAACACTGTTTAGTATTATTTACTCATTCCAGTCCCTACTAGAGAATCGCAGATTGACAGATGGCAAGGGATGGAAAGATGAATGTGTATGTGTTTTGGCGTGTGTGTTTGTAACTAGCGTATGTTGTCTCTCTGTGGTCCACCAGGAGGAGAGGGAGAGAGTGATGAAGAGGAGGAGGAAGACACCGTACCAGAGCTGAAAAAACCCAACTCTGACGAGGTGAGAGACCCTCGGTTCACCGTCTGAAAGGACCGATGGGAATACTGACAGGTGGTTTGATTTTAAAATGACCAATGTTGTTTTTGCTAAAAGCGATCTCCTTTCTCTCTCCCTGTTTTTCTCTCTCTCCCTCCCTTTCTCGCTCTCTCCCTCTCTTTCACCTTTTTTCCTATCCTATCTTTTTCTTTCATCTATCCATCTTTACCTCCCCCTTTCTCTCCCTCCTATCGCTCCCAGGGTACAGCCAGTAGTGAGGTGAACGCTACAGAGGAGATGTCCACGCTGGTGAACTACATAGAACCTGTCAAGTTCAAGAGCTTCGATGTCGCCACCAGTAAGTGTGTGCGTGTGTGCGTGTGTGTGTGTGTGTGTGTGTGTGTGTGTGTGTGTGTGTGTGTGTGTGTGTGTGTGTGTGTGTGATGATTACACATACATTCAGTTGTTCTTCAAGACCATGTGTGTCATTGTTAAAGATACATGTGCTCTTGACTGTGTGTGTGTGTGTGTGTGTTCTTTTCTTGTGTAGCTCATTAGTGCTGACAAGCTAGTGTAATAGCAGTGATAATGATGAACCATCGAATCCCTTGCCACAAACTTGCTACAATATACGGTTACTAATGTAAATAAAAAACAAATGACATTTCAGGGGATGATTCACGCCTATCCTAACTGATTTCCTCTGTTTTAATTCTGTTTCGCTCTCCATTCCCTTTTTCTCCAGAGAGGAAAAAGTTCTTTGAAATGTCGTCGTTTGTGGAGACGAAAGGCATGGATACGCTGAAGAGTGCGCCCATCGAGTTTGTCGAGTATCCTTTTCTCAGACCCAACGTATTCACGATGCTCGCACATGTCAAGACATGTCACAGACTATCAGATCGACACAAGACTAATTACCAACCGTCCAGAAATGAGTGGTGTGCGATACTGCATATTTTGGTATCGATCCGATACCAAGTAAATACGGGTCAGTATCGCTGATATCGATACCGATACCGATACTTTTCAATAAATAAGGTGGACGCGTCATTGAATTGCTAAATCTCAATTAATGTTCATGACCTTAAGTGTTTTTTGTGATGTTTCCTTTTTTATTATTAGTGAAATAGTTAAAACCTAGGACAGAATGAGAACAAAGTTTATAATTAAATAGAAAATGCTTTATTATCAAGTTTTTTGCTTTGCGTCACGTGACTCGCGTGACAGCGCAACATCTAAACACAAGAGGGGGGGGGGGGGGGGGGGGGGGGGGGAGCGAAGTGTGCTCTGTGCTGACACAGGAGCGGCGAGTCCGGTGACCGCTGCTTCCTCTTTGCCGAAACCGCAGCATTTGCAAACAAGAGCGGAACTTAAAGTAAAGAATCGATCCCAACAGGCTAGTATCGATCCGATACCGATACCGACTTGGTATCGATACTATCGATATTTGGATCGATCCGCCCACCACTACCAGAAATGTATATTCATGAGCAAGATACCTAAGCAACCTTTGCCATTTCAAAATCTATTCATATATATTTTCCGGGGACAGGCCACCAAAAATGTCTGGTCGCCCTAACGTAGCAGTTGTTCATCATTTATGCTAAGGAGCAGTTGTTGCCCTTGACATTTTTGAGCATCCATGCGAGCAAAGGTTAGGATGACGAGCATGCCGATGTTGGCATAACCAGACAGTTGATGACCCGTTGTGAGCGTTTACGTTCATCTTGCACATGCTAATCTTCGACTTCGACCTTTCACACCTTTTGTCTACTGTTGCTGGCGTGCATGTGTTGTATGTATACAGGCGCCAGCGTTGTTGTTGGCCCTTGACAGCGTTCGCCTCCAGGTACAACAAGAACCAGCTGAGCAGGATCTACCCTAAAGGCACCCGCGTGGACAGCTCCAACTACATGCCCCAGCTCTTCTGGAACGTGGGCTGCCAGATGGTGGCGCTAAACTTCCAGACCCTGGGTGTGTTAGCTCGCCAACACACCTCTCTGTCTCTGTCTCTCACTCACTCACTCGCTCGGCCTCCGCTTTGTTCAAATTATTCTTCATGTAACTGTGGTCTCCAATGCATTATTTTAAGACTTGATTCTCTCTCTCTCTCTCTCTCTCTCTCTCTCTCTCTCTCTCTCTCTCTCTCTCTCTATCTATCTCAGACCTGCCCATGCAGCTGAACATGGGCGTGTTTGAGTACAACGGTCGCACAGGCTACCTGCTGAAGCCAGAGTTCATGAGGCGAACCGACAAGCACTTTGACCCCTTCACTGAGAACATCGTAGATGGGATCGTCGCCAACACCGTCAAAATAAAGGTGCGTGTGTGTGTGTCTGTGTTTTACATGTTTGTGGGGACCTTGCATGATGTTTGTATTTTTACACCTTTTTGCTATTTCACGTTCTGCTT